CTTGGCTGTATCCTTAAACACATGGATTTCTGCCTCTGGAATGCTAGGATTAAAGGTGTGTGCTATCACTGCCTATCCTCATGTTTAATATTGTGGCTGTTCTGTCTCTGACCCCAGATAAGTTTATTAGCATGCACAATATTTGGGGGAATACAATACCACCACATTTCCTCTTTTTTTGTCTAAAATTAAAAAAAGCTTATAACTAATACAAGAAAAACTATATCCAGTAAGTATATACAATATACACAGTCAAGATTACATTAACGATGTCTAGTCCATTAAGATTTGACAGATTCAGATGAAAAACTCCATTATATATTAACAATGTCCAGTCCAGTAACATCTGATAAACTCAGACCAAAAAATTTTCATTACTTATCTTATTTAGAACAAGTAGTTCCTTTTTAAAAGTAGATTCCATAATCTCCTTTTATCTTATCATATCCAGATTCTCTTTTTTCTTTTCATAATATATTCAGTAGTCTACCTTTTGACATTTTTATATCTTCCCCTTTTTCTTCAGTGTAGATTCAGTGATCTACCTATTTATACTATTATTTCTTTATCTTTTTTCTCAGAGTAGATTCGATGATCTAGCTTATATCCATATTCTGTTTTTCTTTTTGCTTTCTAGGGGTGAAGATATCTTTAGGGAATCTTGAAAAGAAAAATTTTGGGTTAATTGTCAAGTCCTGTATCATTTGTCCAGTGTCTGCATAATAGGAAAGTTGTGGGCTTGTCACAAGTCCTTGCTTGAGTAGTCTGTCAGGCTGGATCATCTCAGCTAGTCATCTCGAAATTGTCCTGACCAGTTTGTAGTCCAAAGTCAATTTTTCCATGGTGTTAATTGGCTTAATGACTTTATCATAGTCCATGTGGAATCATCTTTGTGGGGTCCTGTCGTCCTTTTGAAGATTTCAAAGTTGCTGTTATGTGTGGTCACGGTTCCCTGCAGAATTTTTTTTTTGTGCCTCCTCTGTGGTTTGGAGTAATCACAGTCTGATAAATGTCTGTCTCTCAGAACCATGAACATTCTTCCCTAGAAGAGAAAATCTTCACAGCAATTTCTCCCCATTTGTCTTGCCAAACTTTTCCAAACTGACCTTTGCCAGTGCTTTCTTGTAACACGATGGTCCAGGCAATTCTTCTCTGAACAAGCAGCAGTAAACTCTTTTCCCAGGTAGCAGCATCACCGCAGTCACCAACAAGATGAGAAGCAGCCAGCAACTCGGAGCACCTGCCGCTTCCTCCATGGTCCCACCACTGTTTGTGGCTCAGCCCCGGCCGAAGCTTCTCCTAGGTTGGCCTCAAACTCAGGATCCTCCTGTCTCTGCCTTCTTCAGTAAATCCAACCAATGTGCCACCACAACCAGCAACATGTAGCTTGGGCCTGAGCTGGGGCGTGAATGGCCACAGGCAAATAGCTCTTTTGTGAATTAGTACCACGAGCATTGGGCGCCAGATGTAGGATGAATCTTAGAGAGTATCATTAATAAAATCAAACCCAGGGCCAGTTATTGGGGTGAAATGCTGGATGGTCAGAGAACAAGAAAAAGTCACATCTACCTCACGTCACCGGATGCTCAGCTGGTCTTGTTTCCTCAGACTGGAGGCCTCTGAGTCCTCATCCAGAATGGTTATCAGCTGAACTGTGCTGCTCAAAACCTAAAAGCTTAACCAGCCAAATGCTTAACCAGCCAAATGCTTCTAGTTTCTGGTCCTCACGCCTTATATACCTTTCTGCTTTCTACCATCACTCCCTGGGATTAAAGGCTCGCTTTCTGGGATTAAAGGCATGAGTCACCATGCTTGGCTGTATCCTTAAACACATGGATTTCTGCCTCTGGAATGCTAGGATTAAAGGTGTGTGCTACCACTGCCTATCCTCATGTTTAATATTGTGGCTGTTCTGTCTCTGACCCCAGATAAGTTTATTAGCATGTACAATATTTGGGGGAATATAATACCACCACAGACCTCCCCAAATTTGATCCATGGAACCCAAAGTGTAACAAAAGTACTAATTCCCCAAGTTGTCCCCTTATCCCCATTTGCAACTCATGGCATGCATGCATTCGAACTCACACACACTCATTAGACACAATAATAATAAATTTAAAAGTTTTTTTTAAGTCTACAAAAAGAATAATATAAGGAAACAGAAACTGGCCATGTAAGACAGAGGCAGCATAACCTAGTGGTGAGGACAGGAGCAAATTGTGAAACAGTTAGGAGGAAACATTGGAGGTGGGAGCTAAGAGAGTGGTGATTAAAGGCTGGCTAGAAGTTAGTAAAGGAAGAGAGAAGCAGGAAGCTCACCTCTGCTGTAGTCAAGTGGGATTAGGTTTGTCATTGTATTGTTATTTCCTCTTTTGTTCTCCAGCCCCTTCCCCATTCTCCAACCCCAGTGCTCCATTAACCCCTGTCATTTGATTTGAAGAACAAGTTAAATTGGTTTCATAAAAACAATCCATCAGGTTTGAAAATCTACAATCAAAAGAAAGTAAACTTTAGGGAGAGATTTGAAGATATTCTGGCAAGGGTTAGCTCATGGCAAGAGACTAGTGGAATCAAATAGTCTTGTTTCCTCTCCTTCCTCTGTCATCATCATTATCATCTTCATGTCCACCATCACCATTGTGCTGTTTGGAGTGAAGCCTGGGCATTTGCACATGTCAAGCAAACCCCTTCCTTGAACTGTACCCTCAATTCCAAAGATGTTTCTAAAGTCTTCAGCATTCAGTGTCAGAATATGAGGCCTCACTAATAATGTGAACACCAAGAGCTTTGAAGGAAGACCTGTTGATACAAAAACCAGCTTTCACCTTTAAGGTAATAAAAGATAGTGTCTTCTGGGGACACTTTGAGTGACCATGGCTCCATGTTTCAATGTGGAAGCAGTTTCATGAACTTTTGTAGTTTTACAGAACTGAGAAAGTTATAAATCAAGGAAAATACAACATACATTCATAAGTACATTAGAGAGGTGGGTACAGAAAGATGGGGGAAGCATTTTTATAGGCCTGGAGATGACATTCTTAGCTTCCAGTGGAAGTTAGTGGTCTGCTAAGTTAATAGATTTCACCAAGTTTAGTTACAGAATGTTAATTCTGACACAGGTGCACAAGGAATGGCTGTTAAGGGGGCTAAAGCTATCACATAGCAAAGTAATTAGCCTCTGGATCTACAAAATTCCAACCTCTTCACTTCACTGTAGTTTTAAATAAGTAATCAGTAAATCATTCTTTGTTGACACAGCTTCTTTGCAGGAATTCTCATCACAGGACCATGGGCAAAACTCTTGGAAGAAAAATTCACCTTCTCTCAGCTTCAAATCAAAAACAACCGTGATTATTTTCACATACAACTGGTAGACTATAAATGAATTATAGGGTGTATGGTAATCTATATCAGAGTTCCTTAAATGTCTATCTCCTTTGATCCCATGACTTCATGCATAAAATGTCTAAGTATGTTCTAAAATATAGCCCATATAGTTGTTAAATTAACAATGAAATAGCGTAAACAATTTAAATATTCAACAGAAAGAGATTATCTAATTACTTAATTTACGCTGTATAGAAGTGATTAATAATGATATATGTCTTTAAAAATCTTATAGATCAATATATATAAAATGAAAAATGCTTATTATTTATTAGAAAAGTTGAATTAGAAACATGGTGTTAAATTAGTGTAGTGGTATACAGCTAAAATCCTAGCACTGAAGAGACTGAGTCAAGAGGACTGACTCAGAGTTTGAGGCCAGTCTGGGCTACATAATAAGTATGATATAACAATTGTTATATCAAACAAAAAAAGACACCAAAAAAACTCAAAACAAAACAAAGTCTGAGTCTGTTATTCAGTGGTAGAGTATTTTCTGAACATGCATAATATCTTAGGTATGATATGCCAGCACCATGAAAACATCAGCCATAAGACCACTCTGTATGGAAAGATATCAACATCCACTGTGAACATTCTCTATGAATAAAAAGCTAGAAGAGCATACAGTAAAACTTTTATAGTAGAAATGTCAGTGCTTAAAAGTAATTCCTAAAACACACTTAACTGTAACAAACATAATTCAAAAACAGAAAGTAATTTTATTTTTTTTCAAATAGTAATGCAAAAAAAATTTCAATCAACCTATTACAAAATTAGGAGTGGAGGAACTTCAGTCATTTCCTTTTACTAGTGTTTTTGAAAAGGATACTGGTTTTGTCTTTCTAGCAGATACATTTATCTTATCGGTCTTCAAATATTGATTATGGACATGATTTGCAACATCTGACATGGTAGATTGGCTCTTTCCTGTCCGTCAGCATCAGCTTTCATCATGCAATTTCCTCTTTTCTTTTTGGTCAAGAGGAGGGGCAGAAAATCATGAGCTTGAACATCACTCAGAGGCGATTCAGTTCTGCCTTTTCTCTTGGAGCCTTTGAAAGCATACAGAAAAGAAAACACCAACTTGTCTCCCAATTAGGGATCAATTCCCTCCACAATAATCATTTCGGGTCAAAACACAGGTAAAAGTTGCTTTTATTGTTTTTCTATCGCATAATCTTATGTTCTCTGGAGAATTTCAGATGGTGTGACCTGAGAGTAGGATTGATGGGTAAGCCGTGTTGGTTGGGTTTGATCTGGTTGACTCTGGCAGCATGTGAAAACTAGAGTTCAGCACTGGTTTTCTTTCTGAGTATTCTGTGACTTCTGCTGTGTGCTAAAAAAATAAGGTAAAGGGTTCTATGGAGTTCATTACTCTTTAACTGGATCAAATGTTTATATATTATCCATCTTGAAGAAGTCATAGCAGGAGCCAGGTAAGGTGGCTCAATGTACTTGCTACACAAGCCGGACTGACCACCTGAGTTTGATCCATGGGACCCTCATAAAGTGGAATGAGAGGACACACTCGGTAAAATTATCCTCTGGAAACATGCACCATGGCTCAAGTACCCTCACCCTCAACAGCAAAAATAATGAATAATGATTTTGAAAAAGAATTCTGTAATAGAAAGATTTCTTTTTCTCAAGAAATAAGGCAAAATGTAAGTAATTTCAAAAAACCTCATAAATTAAAAAACTAGAGAATGCTGTCACTTGTGAAGCTTGTTTTCTATATTATCTGCTGGCTGTCATCTCAGTTACTAATGTCAGGAATAAGGTAAGTTACAAATATTTGCTATTCAGTAATACATTGATATCTATTATCAGATTGGATCCCTTATGGGCATTAATTAATGATTGCTGCATATTAGTTTCATATAAGTTCCTCTGGCAATATCATATACTAGAATATAATATGTGAAATAATTATGTACATGGAATGATTTGAAATTAAAACTTCAGGTTATACCCTGCTATGCCCCTCTCTATTGCTCTCACACCTCACCCCTGCAATCCCCTTTCTACTTTCCTGGTTACTGCAGTTACTCCAGGTTCTGTAGCATGTCTGAAGACTTGGAGCCAGGAGCCTCAATTGTAGGACAACATGCAATATTGTTCTTTTTGAGTCAAGGTTACCCCACTCAGTAGGATATTCTTTAGTTTCATGCATTTATCAGGCTTGACTCTGGAGAATAATGTGTAGGATGTGACTGAGTGGAGAAGTTGGACATCTCAGGAGAGATATTTGTGTACTTTCAGCCCAAAATGTTAATCAACAGCAGTATTAATCCTCATATATTGTTTCAAAGGTGGTGTCTCAGAAACTCTGATAGTCATGCATGACTGAAAAGACTACAAGAACATTTTTACATTCAAGTGTTTATCAAAATATGTAAATAATTTTAAAGCGAAGATTTTTATTTATTCAGAAAGCTTTGATTTTTTGTTATTTCAATTGATGGTTTAAAAGTATTTCAATTGTTTGTGGTAGTACCAATTATGCCTAACATTTTATATATGTGTTCTGTCAATATTACAATGACTTACTAGTAAGTTATTGATTCTTTCAGTATATCTCCTGATAGTAAGTTCTGTGGCCTGTAGATGTATAAATTACAGAAATCTTCAAAGACTTCTCACCTCTAGTGGAAAACAGGGTCAGTCCATGTGATTTAAGATGTTTGGATCATTAGGGGAATGAATCAGACCGCACCCCTTCCCACCCCACTGCAGCATCAGATCCAGGTACCTTCCTAAATGTGGACATTTTAACTTTTTCCTTAGAATTCACTCAAGGGCAGATTTTAACACAGACCATACTTCACTTACTCTCAAGATGGGTGATGAGGAGATTACTTACACAACTGTGAGATTCCATAAGTCTTCAGAGTTGCAGAATCAAGGAAGGGCTGATGAGACACAAGGGCCCAGAGAAGCTGGCCACAGAGGTAAGTGTTTAAACATCTAAATTCATCTATTTTTAATGCATCATAAACTTCTAATTTTGAAAATAATATACCACAGGCTGCCATTGGAAACAAGAACCCTATGTTTTAGGGAGTTGCTTTTTTTTTTTTTTTTAAAGACATTGTTTCTCCTTCTAATAGCCTTGGCTGTCTCAAAACTCTTTGTAGACCAGGCTGATCTTAAACTCAAAGTGATCCTCCGGCCTCTGTCTCCCAAGTGCCTGGATTAAAGGCACGTACCATCATGCCTGGCTAAAGTCTGTTTCATTTTATTTTCCTTTTTTTTGGGGGGGGGGCGGGGAGTGAGGGGTTTCGAAACAGGTTTCTCTGTGTAGCCTTGGCTGTCCTGAAATATACTCTGTAGAACAGGCTGGCCTCAACTCAGAGACCTCCTGCCTTTGCCTCCCTAGTGCACTGATTAAAGGTGTGTGCCATCACCACCCAGCAATAATCCTATTTCTAGGTGTTAGCTATAAACAAAAGAAAGCTGGATGGGCAGAGTAGAATGATGGGAGCCTGTAAGAAAAAGTTATTGAGAATGCAGAAGGAAGAAGTGAATATATTCTGTCAAATTTGAGAAAAAATTAATAAGTTTTTTTTTAGTTTTGACAAGAAGAATTCTGAAACTTTTAAAATAAACACTCTAAAATCGGAAGAATTTAGAGAAATAAAATCTTAAGGAAATTAAAAGTATTCATTATAAACAATACTTTCACTCTAACGGAAAGTTTTTTATTATCTTAAGTATTTTTCAATATCTAGTGCATAAAATCTGCAAGAATCATCTATCAGATGACAGAGTCTCTTCCTAGAAAGAAGCTGCAGAGGAAGAGAGGGGATGACAGATAGTAGTGGGGATGGGGATGACTAACCACATTATACATTTGCAGAATAATTAAGATTGCTAATAAAAATTTTCTATTCTTTCTCTGCTCACTCTTCATATAATGTCACAAATGAACCCTAAACTTTAACTTCTTTGACATACTGATAATCAGAGGCTTAACTTTCAGATTCCCAACACCTCAGATACATGGAGATGTTTTGTATTATCTAGAGAAAAATAGAACTTATGTAAAAAAAATCAAGAGTTGACTTATAAACTCCTTTAAGGATGGGCCTATATACAAGTCAGCTCCAGAACTGCCATGGTTCCTGACAGTTCTCGAGAACATCCATCCTTCATCCCTTCCTCCTCATCCTCAGTTATGCTCCCTTGGTGGACTGCATACTCCAGTTTGGGATTGTCTACCTGGACTGTGTCTGTGCCTCCAGTGCTTTCTGAAGGATGCACTTTTGATCCTGTAGAACTGGGTGAGAGGCAGATGCCTGTCATACGGCTATTTCTAGACTGAGTCAGGAGGATTGAAAATACAAGTTCAAAGGTGAAAAAAGTTTGAAATCCTGTGAAACTTCATACATGTAACATTTCTATAATGGGTGTAATACAATTTTGAAAGCAGTGTTCATTTAGTTTGTATGATGGACTTCTGTAAAATTTTTAGAAACCAATATCCCATTGTCTCTATGCTACACAAAATTATAATTAATATTGGGACTTGCTCTTTTCATGGTGTTCATTTTCTTGCTTTGCTTTTTGTTTGTTTTGATTAAGGGTGTTTAGTTCCATGGCACCTCATTGCAATACCTCTAGGAGTCCTTTGTTCCATTCTGCTGGTGACAGTTGCAGTGTTGGTGACACACAGTGAGTAACTGGTATACATCTTCTTTGCCTTCCTGCCTAAGTAATAACAGTCACTTATTATGCAGTTATTGCACTCTGCCTGTTGACCTGCCTATAATCAGGGGATGTGCTACATAGCTCCTGGACTTAAGCTTTTTGGGTTTTTTTTTTTTTTTTTTTTGGTCTTTCGAGATAGGGTTTCTCTGTGTAGTTTTAGTGCCTGTCCTGGATCTCACTCTGTAGACCAGGCTGGCCTGGAACTCACAGAGATCTTCCTGGCTCTGCCTCCTGAGTGTTGGAATCAAAGGTTTGAGTCACCACCGCCCATTTCTTAGGATGTTTTTAATCCTGGCACACTACAGTGTCCCTTTCTCTTACAAACCTATTTCATTAACTTTGGGGCTGTTGAGAGCTTTTGTACTTTCTCATTCATGGTCATGTTCATTCTGAGAACTTGGTGATAGTCTGCCTTCTGAGCTGAAGAGACTGGGAATCTTAGGTAAACATTCTGTGAGAAACAACTGTGCAAAAGAAATGATGGCCTTCTTTTCATTTTCCTCAGTCTGTAATGAGGACACGGTTGTATAAAAAGACTAGATATGTACAGAGACCTTAACACTTCAGCCTTATTAGATTCCTTTATATCTTTAGAAGAAATCACTCCCAGAATGTGATAAAATATAGCTACATATCTGGATATTATGCTTTTCATCTGGTCTTTTGGGAATTGTGCCATTTCTTCATGTTTCTTAATTCACATTTTCAGTGGATGTTAAAGGTTGACTGAATTTTTTATTTAGATATTTATTTGTAAGTTTTATGCAGAGAAAAAAATGAAGGAATTGGAAGGAAATGTACTTCCACCATAATTTAATTCTGCTTTATCATTTACTTTATACTGAAGTTTCTGGTAGAGGAAAATTGACGTTTCCATTTCTTTAGTGAGTTAATTGAGGTGTTATTTTCTAAAAGTCAAAATCCAATTGAAGTAATGGTATATGTTGTCAACATGGGACCTTTTCTTATATCTTAAATTTCAATATTTAGTATTTATAACCATTTTTGAGTTACACCTTTTGTTCATTTTAGTTTTTCAGTATAGTCAAGAAAACTATGAACTACAGAAAAATCTAAACAACCCCAATCAAAGGAATATCACCATGCAAAATAACAGCTGCTTGAATGAAACTTTGAGAAGAAAGTCTACAGGGTGTGATGACTTCCAACATCAGAAGGAACCAGACACTCTCAATAGAAAACAGAACAGATGCTGTGGGAGAACTAAGGTTGTTTTTGATTGTGTGCAGCACACAGGTAAGGAGGGAATATTGAATAAAGATTGCATTATTCTGTATTGATTCTTCTCCAGGAGATTTGAAGTCCAGCTAGCAGCTAACAATGCATATGATCCCTGAGTTAATGGGTGGGGTTTCCTTGTATCATGGAGGGGCCTGGAACCCTGGAAATCCCTGTTTGGATTAGGAAAATCTTAGTTTCTAGAACTCAATGGCCATCCTGTCTCCCATGGCTCCCAGGGGATGGAATCTCAAGTCAGCACAGCTGAGAATTCAGGTCGTTTTCATGAGAGGTCAAATCTGAGTCCTCACTTTTTTTGTTGACAGAATGTGAAAGTTTTCCATAAGAGAGTATTTACCAAATTCTTGACGTGAAATGGACATAAAGCATTTACATGGATGCAGTCATAAAAATAAGTGTGTGTGTGTGTGTGTGTGTGTGTGTGTGTGTGTGTGTGTGTGTGTGTGTTTTCCTTCTGCCTTGGTATCAGAGAGCTGGCCTGTGTGTGACCATAGTGAAGCTCACTGCAGCACACATGAGAACTTCTCCATGGTGCCCACACTGGTGTATCTCTGTCACTGAATGACACAGAGATGAAAATATCAATCATTACAAGGAACTTTCTTTCCTTGCATCGTGACTGGTTAACATTAATTGACACAGTTTATTATTCATTATTAAGAATTTTTTCAAAAGTTAATGTTCACAAAGAACTCTTAAACATGATCTCACTGTGCATGATAGCAGGGGTTGACAATCTTCATTATTCAAGGAATAATAATATCTTTAACACTGGTAAATTTTAAAATATGTGACAGAGAAAAAGATATAATCTAAAAATAGTCGTTGAGGCATTCCAGACTCATCAAAACTGTTTTACATTATGATTTTAGAATAAAATAACTACCATCTCTAAGTGGCAGCATGATTCTGCAATGCTTGTGATTAGAACACTGAGGTAGGAGGATTGCAAATTTGAGGACAGTCTAGGTGTCCAGCAAATTCCAAGCCAGCCTGAACTACAGAGTGATGATACCTCTTCTCAGAAAAACAAGAGTTGGACATAAAGGTTTATTAATAGAGAAAGGGGGTCCCCAGCACAGACCAAACAAATAAATCTTATTGAGAGGTTGTAGCTATGTAAACTACACATGTTTTAATATATTCAAATTTGATACTTTGGACATGTGGGTGTACCCTTGAAGGCAGGAGAACAGAAAATCACCATCAAAAGCTTCCTTAGTTGTCTCTTATTTCTATTAAGTTAAGAGCATCTAACATAGGCCACAGCACAGCTGTACATGTACAGTAGCATGTGGGCCACTGTGGGCACAGTGCATTACTACAGATCTAGCCTTGCATCATCCATGTAACTGCCTCTGAGCAGCCAGTGCTCATTTCCCCTCCCTCCAGCCCCTGGAATCTTACAAACCTGGGATTCTTAGAGCTGGACTGTGCTGTAAACCTCATCTGAGTGAAATTGAAAAGTGTGGTACTGGCACTAGTTTGTCACACTTTGCATTCTATCTGCAAGTTCATCCATGCTTCTCTGAAAGACTTTCTTGTAGACTTCTGAGAAAGGGAAGTTATTGCAAAGACTCTGCTGTCTCATTAGTAATGAATCAGCTCATAACAGGACACTTAGTCCTCACACTAAGTGAACAGCAGTCAGGAGTCATATGGAAGACTCTTACTGCAAAGTTGGTCACTTAGGTCAGGATTTCTCTTTAGGGGTTTAGATGTAAAAATGGTTTCATTCTGTAGCCCAGGCTGCCTTGGAACTCACCATATATAGCCAAGGCTGGCCTGAAATTCACTGCTTAACCTAGGCTGACCTCAAACTAGAGGTGAACCTCATGCCTCAGCCTATGGAGTGCTGGGCTTATAGGCAGGCATAAGTCATCATGCCTGGTTGGATTTCTTCCCTGTCAAGGATACATAGTAATCCTTTGTGTGTATATGATACATTTTCTCTATTGATCATCCATAATGAACACTTAAATTTTATCCATATCTCTATTATAAACAGTGCTGCATAGAACATGTGTGTGCAGGGGTCTCAGCATTCTAGTGTCTCAATTTTTGAGAGCCATGAGTGTTTTACTTAGTTATAGATGTGTAATAAATACAATCTTCTGTAGCACAAATCCTAATAGGTATTATAATAGAAACCCGGAGACACATATCAAGGTAAATACTGAAAGATCAGAGGAAACAAGCCACAGCCATTTCTCACCTCACCAACTCCTCAGCCAAAAAGGGAAGATCCTGTCTCCATGAATCCTCAGACTGAATGCCCCTGAGTCTGATCTCCACTTGCCTTATATTCTTTTCTCTGCCCAGCTATATCTCTCCCTGTCTCAACCTTCCTAGTGCTGAGATTAAAGGCATGTGACTCCCAAGTACTGGTATTAAGGGTGTGAGCCATCACTGCCTGGCTCTGTTTCTCTTTTAGACTGCATTAATCTCTTGTAGTCCATGGTGACCTTGAAGTCACAGAGATCCATCTGCCTCTGCCTATAGAGCTAGGACTAAAGATGTGTGCAACCACTGCCTGGCCTCTACAGCTAACTCTATGGCTAACTCTATGACTAGCTCTGCCCTCTGACATTCAGACAAGCATATACAAAATATCACCACAGTCCTAATGACAGAATAACAGAAAATAAGAATTTTCACCATTCCCTTCTCTGTTGTAGGGAAACATGTTGAAGGACGTTTGTTCTGCCGTGGCATAAAATGTTATTATTTCATCATGGACAATAAACGCTGGAGTGGATGTGACCAGACTTGCCAGGACTGCAGCTTATCCCTTTTGAAGATAGATGATGATAATGAACCGGTACCTTAGACTCTTACATGCTTCTTTATTCTTAGACTCCTTCTCTAACCCTTGAGAGTGAAATATTGAGCCCAGATATTTAAAAAAAAAAAAAGAGTCCTTCAGCAGTTGTATGTGGTTTTCCTGTAATTCAAGCAAAAATCATACAGTAAGAGTTTTCTAGTCCACTCCTTCCTACTTCCTAGTTAGTGTCAGGACACAGGGTGTTATGAGGAGACTCATTACTAAGGAGACAATCCTGTCTTTACAATCTCCTCCCTTTGCCAGGAATCTGTGAACTAATCCTGCATAGAATCATGTTTTACCTGAATAAGTTTAGCCCTTTGGTATAGCACATCTTGTAACTGACAGTTATTTATCTCCATAGAGTGCCACCTACACCCAAAGAGTCCATGGTCCAGAGTTTGCTCTTCGCAATCCAGAAGTGAGATTGCCTGAGATGGGTAACTGGATGACAATAGAGAAAGTAACTGAGCTCTGGGCCAATCTGCAAAATGGAAATTATATGAGAACCAGAAATTAAACAGTTTTTCCTGTTAGTTGATTTCACTGAATCTGCCCATAATATTTACTTCCTAATATTCATATATTTCATAAAAAAATCTATCTTTGGAAATGAACAAGGAAAACAAGTGGCCAGGATCCTGACATTAACTGTTTACTTTTATTACTAAAAAAGTTTCTTCAAATACATAGATGGTATTTTTCTAGAGAAATGGTTGAATAATGAGCTTGAAAACTTTGTCATTTAGAATATGATGCACAATTTTTTCACCAATTTAATACATGTCTGAATAATTACAGCATAAAATAAATTTTAATGTCAAGTAATGATATAATTTTTCATTTGATACAGTAAACATGGGTAAATTTAAACTTATCATAAAATATATTAAGTAATTTTATTAGGTATCATTCCACTCATGTGTCACATGTAAGACACACTATTTACTTCCAAGTATCTCACACTTCCTCAAGTTCTGTCACTTTGGGATCTAAGTAACAGCATGGCTTCATTGCTGGAACATGGAGGATAGCGTACAGCTTTTCACAGAAGACTTGGATATATCATCTGGATTAATTAGTTTTTTTAGACAAGGGGGTCACTTAAGTTGAATACTTCCCACATGCTTCTGTGGTCTTCTAAAATGTGTATTTGAATAATTTCATAAAGTGTTGGGCTCACTTAAGGAGCCAGGGTCTGAAGCTGGGAGATTGTGAGTTCAATGTCTACCTTGGCTACACAGTGATACTTTCTCTGAGAAACATGGTCACAAATCATTTCATGAATCCAGTATCTCTAGACACCTGAAGTTTTCATTTTAAATAATTTATGTAACTGTCATCGGATTTTACATAAATGAGCTACTAGTGGGAAATCACTTTAAAAATGAACTTGGAGGGACTGAAGGGTTGAAGGACTAGAGAACAGGACAGCAGAAACTGATATAAGAATAGGTGGGACCTGTTATCCTGTTCTTTTCTCACCAAACAGATGGACATTTTATCATAATATGTATTATTTCCCTTACAGAAGTTCCTACAGTCCCAGCTTACTACAAACAGATACTGGATTGGATTAAAATATAATGCAAGCAAAGGGGAATGGCAATGGACTGGCGATGGCCCATCTAAACTGTGAGTTTCCTGAGCCCTCACACTCTAACAGTGGTGCAGAGTTGGGAGGAGGGTTGCAAAGGCTTTTCTCTCATTTCACATGGCTTTCCTCATTTTCTATGGAGTTCACAGGTCAGGACAAGATGCATAAGACAGTGTTTGAGCAAGTGTTAGACAGGGAAGAGGAATGGTTTAGAAGCTGACTGCTAGTGACGTAAAACTGAACACAACTCAGGGTTGTGTGTTCTAAGATGTAGAGGGCACAAAAAACCAAAGATTAGGATCATGTGAAATAACTTGATCATCATGAATGATATTATGAGTGTATCTTAAACATACACTTGACTTGTTTCTGTAGTTAGCTTCTATAATTATTAATTTATAAATATAAAAACACAATATATATGCAATGCATATTTTTTCATTTCAAGGTTGCTGTAGTCTATAAGCTCTAAGTTCGTTCTGATAGAAACTCTTCATTGATTTTCTTTATTAATACCATTTCTTAAAAATTTCATACATATACAGAATGAAATATGATCATAGAATCCTTTTCATGCCTTCTCAACCTTCTCCAGACTGTACCTAAGGTGGTCCCATCTAACTCATGTTTTCTTGATCCTGTCCACTGGTGGATGTTTGTAGGCCATTCACTGGAGCAAGGATACCTCCCAGTGGCCACAACCTTAATAAAGAATGTGTCTCCCGTTTCCAATAGCAGTCACCTAATAATATTATCTCCTTAAGAGAGAGAGGACCACTCCCCAACTATGCTGGAATTCTGGCTGGCTTGATCTTTTTCTGGTCTCATATAGGTGACCACAGCTGCTGTGAGTTTGTGAGTAGGAAAGCCTTGTCATGTCCAGATTGCAGGATTTCATAGAGCTTTTCTTATCATCAGGCTCTTACATTTTTTCCCACTTTCTCTTCCCTGTTGTTCCCTAAGTCTTGGGATGGTGTTGAAGGGGAGGGAGTTGAAAATGTCCCCATAGGGCTAAACACATTTTCTCTTCTCTTCTGAAATTTGACTAGTTCTGCTGCTCTGTACTGATTACTGCCTACTGCAAAAGAAGCTTCTCTGACCAAGGTCGAGAACAGCCCAGGTCTTGGCCATAAACACATGTACTGAGAGTACAATTTGACTACATGCCCACTTATCAACATAATTGTAGCAGTTTCCACCCTAGGGCCCTTGACCTCCACATTAATGAGCTTTTCATTTGGATTACAGTAGCAAACACAATATCACTTATATAGTAAAGATCTCAACACTAATAAGAAAACACTTAGTTATCCTATGACAATGGTACCACTGGGCACATCTTGCCTAGCAGGTCAGTATTGAACCATGAAGGCCCCAGTGCTGGGTAAGAGATTCATATCTTTTCTCCCCCAGAAGCGTGCAAACCACCTTTCTTATCCTTTGAAAAATAGCTCAAGGAAAGAAGTTTCCTGGTTGATTTGAAATTGATTTCTCTATGTTCTGACATCAAAGCGTGTGGTGTACCAGCAATCAGGTCTTACCATGTAGTTATGGTTGGTAAGCAAAGGTAATGGCAATATGCTGTGCTGGTGTAGAGACCTCTGCAGTCTCTCTGACCAATAATTCCTCTGGATGTATCCCCTGCTTTATACTTTGATTTTCATTTAATAACTCATGTTTTCTGTAGTTCTAACTCTTTTTATGGTTATATTTTCATTTTAAATTTTCATTTTTCAATTGAATATATTTTGATCAGCTTTCCCACCCTCTAACACCTACCACATCCTCCTCACCTCCCTACCCACCTAAAGTCAAGTTCTTTCCTTCTCTCTCCTCAATTGTTATCAAGAGAACATTTTTATTTTTATTTTTATTACATTTATTTATTTTTGTGTGAATGTATGCATATGTGATCCCATGTCACAGCACATCTGTATTTAGTGGTAGTTGAAGAAGTCACTTTTCTTCTTCTACTCTGTGTATCCGAAGTCTGAACTCAGGTTGTCAAGTTTGGTGGCAATGACTTCTATCCACTGATCTGTGTCACTGGCTCAAGACCTTTTTTTAATGAGTTTAGAGAAAACAAAAAACCTTTAGTAAAACATAATTAATTCTATATTCTGTATATTTTGGTCAATAAAAATTGTTTTTAAAATCATAGCCTACATCACATCAATGTAAGTTTCAAATTTTAATAACTGCCCATTGTATGTTTTGTTTACAGTAATTTGACAACAGTGAAATTATTACAGGAAGTTGGAGGCTGTGCATATCTGAGTTTTGGAGGTATACATGAAGATGACTGTGGTAGAAACCACCCCTGTATCTGTGAAAAGAGAATGGATAAATTCCCTGGTTTTATATACAGTATGAAGGAAAAATAAAAATGGAACATTTTGTCATCTTTGTTGGTATCCTGTGATGATTTGTGATTACTAAATGACTGAATGTCTTAACCGAAGGACTCAGTCAGCTGAGCAAATATGGCAATGAGCTGGAAAGAGAAGAAATGTTCTACTAAAATCTAACTTAACACCCCAGAAGCTTTCTCCCTTCCTACTAAACATAGCAGCTCATGTCTGAAGAATGGGTGCCCTTTGTTCCAAGCCCTGAGGAATCATCCTTTGTTTCCCGAATGACCCATGGAACCAAATCCAGAATGCTAATAATTAGCACACATAACTAACTCATCATCCCTAGGATACACCATTTCAATGTTCCATTGCTTTGACATCACAATTAAGAACTACGATGCAGTTTTGGGGTTCTATTTGTCTTTTGGTTGGTTAGTGTTTGTTGTTTTGTGTAGACAAGAATTTATGTTTAGAAAAGATTTATTTTCTATAAAACACACAATTTCAGATTTGATGAATAGTTGCTAAGCTAGGTCAAGAAACTCATACAACCATTCATAGTCATATGTGCTCTCATTTTTCTCCCCCGCCCCTCTGTCTGACCTATTTGCTGGCAAATTGAAATCCCATGGATAAAGTAACATTCACTGAGGCCATCTGGATGCCATGACTCAGACTTATAATCTTATAAGTACTTGAGTTTGAATGAAGTCTAGGCCGCATAGTATTTTTGAGTCCATCATGGGCTACAGAAAGAGACTCTGTCTCATGAAGCTTTATAATAATGATGGTCATAATAATAATACTAAAGTGTTCATAAATATTTTCTAAGCAATTTCTATTATAGCATCATACTAAAATGATAAGACACAAGAAATTTAGTATTGATCTAGTAATATGATCTATTCCATAATTCATATTAATAATTGTCTGTTTTCTGAGTTATATCACTGTTGATATTTCTTCACATTCACTATCATCAGTGCTTTCCCTTGCAATGTCCTTTAGTTTTAACATGGTTATTGACTTATGATATCATTATTTTTTGAATCTGACATTAAAAATATCAAATTTGACCTTGAAGTTGTATGTAATTGAAATGTCCCTACTGTAAGCCATGAGAAATATGAGTTAAAAATATGTACATCTCTTCAAGAACCATTGTGGAGGCTAGTTTTATGTCAACTCGACACAAACTGGTACATCTGAGAGTTGGGAACCTCAATTAAGAATGTGCCTCAATAAGATCTGGCTGCAGGCAAGCCTATAGGTCATTTTCATAACTAGTGGTTGATTAGGAGACCTCAGCCCTTTGTAGGTGGTGAGACCCTTGGGCTGATGTTCCTGGGTTCTATAAGAAAACATGCTGAGCAATCCATGGAAATCTTCCAGTAAGCATCACTCCTCCATGGTCTGTGCATCAGCTTATGCCTCCTGATTCCTGCCAGGTTTGAGTTTCTCTCCTGACTTCTGATGATTGACAGCAATGCTGAAGTATAAATCAAATAAACCTTTTTCTCCTCAACTGCTTTTTGGTCATAGTGTTTTTTCACAACAATAGAAACCTCAACTAATAGAATAATCAAACCCTAACAGGGCATTTTTTTGCCACCCAGATTTCATTTCTACTTCTCTCCCTACCTGGGCCCTGGAAAGCAGACATATGCTCTCTTGTACTGCAAATTAGTAAGACATAGTCAAGTGTGTCATATACTAGGCACAGATTCTTATTTGGCTCCATTTTCCTCTGCATCTTTTACTACTATTATTATCATTATTATTTTTTAGGAAACTCAAGCTTTTTTCACAGATAAGTGGTTCATTTCTCTTGTTACAAGTACTTTTATATTACACAAATATACCATGATATTTCTCCATTCACATGTAAACATAGGATATGTTTCAAGTTTTAACAATTTTAAACAAAGTTCTCATGCCGATGTGTATGTACACTGTGTGAAATACATTTAATTTTATTTTTATTTTGGTAAAAATCTAGAACTTGGATATATATGTTCCAGTATTAAGTGCTGTTTCATTTCACAAGAAAGTTACAGCATGTTTTGAATGGCCTACATCATCTTACTTTCTCTGCATCATGGGAGAGTTCCCTTTGCCCTTCATCTTTGCCAACACTTGATACAATTCCATGCTTGAAATTTTACCATTTTGATTAACTGAAGAATTATCATTTCTCTAAGAACTAATAATACCAACCATCTTTTTCAAGTACTTATTGGTCAGTCATGTTCTCCTTTGTGAAATATCTATTCGTATCTGTTCATCTCGTAGTTGCAATATTGTAAGAGGTATATATAAAATTTGGATACAAAGCCTTTGATAGAATTGTGTGATGTAATATTTTCTTACTGTCTAGTCTGCATGTTCTGAAATAAATCATTCAACAATATAAAATTTAACATTTCATTGTAGTTTGACATATCACTTTTTCATGCTATCAAAATACATTTTACTTATATAAAATTGCAGAGGTTTTAACAGTGTCATTTTTCCTAGATATTATATAGTTTCAACTTACGATTTACCTCAAGGTAATTTTTTTATTTTGATTTGTTGTGTGTGTGTGTGTGTGTTTCTCTGTCGTGTGATTGTGTGATCACATGCCATGTGCATTGATACTTCAGAGGCCAGAAGAGGGCATTGGATCCCCTGGAGCTGGAGTTTCAG